CGTTTCGAAGAGAATTCACATGATTTTGTGTATCCCGAATCACTGGTGGCCAAGCAGTGGCTTTTAAACTTCATGGCAACTCCCAGGTATCTTTATGGCTGACAGTGGCATTATGATGCAGCTGCACATCTTGGTCTATAACACACAGCAAGTTTGGCCACCTTCATGCCCAAACCAACCTTCACTGGAGCAGCAGGCTCAGCTGGGAGCCTCTAGGTACAAACTACTTCCAGGACTCTTTCTTCTCCTAGGTGTTTGGTATGTCTCATGTTCCTCAGCTATCTGAGGATTTGGTTATGTGATACAAAAACTTGCCATCACTTCTCCAGATGATTGTGCCTTATTAAGGCAGGAAACTCTAATGTAAATAGGCTGTAATTGAAAGTAAAGGAGTTTTTGAAAAATAGAGAAATTGGTACTATTTCAGTACCAAAGATGTTTCTGTTCTTTATGTTGGCCCTTACACTTTTATTTCAAACAATATTCCATTAGTTTAAACAATCCTTATGCAAGATGCAGCCTAATTCTCTTATAGCTGCTACATGCCATTGAAAAAGAGCTCTTTTCCTTATTTTTATATGAAACTACAATACAGGAGATCTGCTCCCCTGCGTTAATGCTTTCCTTCACATTCATGAAAGAAGCCAGTCGGGAAAAAATATTCAGCAGAGAATGAGTGAAATACAAAAGATAAGCACGCACTTTTCTGCATTCCTTTTCCAAGGTTCAGCAAGGGAATACAGTTTGTTTCAGGGTCACAGATTCTGATCTGGGTCAAAGGTCAGACACGATAAACCAAGTAACATGCAATATATGCTTAAAACTACTCTTTATACATCACAGTCCTATGATGATATCCCATTTCTTCCTGCCTCTTTAAGTTATAATGCATTTTAGGATCTTATAACATGCAAGTCTGTTATTAAAGATTCTGCTGAATTATTCAGGGCTAAATCAAGATGTGAAGACACCTTCTTTGAGACAGAAAATTGGCAAACACTCTCTACTATGCCTTACAGCAAGAAAAACAATCTTGCTGCAGCTGTTGTGTTTATCATAAAATTGATGCTATAAAAATGTTACCTGAATACAAATGAAATTATTTTTATTTAAACCTCCCATATCGAGAGGCACATTTCCTCACACAATTATGTAATCTCCAAGGCCTGCTGTGATGTCTGGCATAAAGTGGTTAATTTATTCTCACTTAAAAGTTTCCCAAAATGTCTAGCCCAAATTTTAATGCACTTTGTCACTGACGGTCAGACTGTGATCCCCTTCTTTACACTGGTGAGCAGCAGCTCACCTATCAAATTCCACTGGTTTCCCAGGAATTTGGGGTGACAGCCTGCACACCAAGTCACAGCCCACCCTTTACTGACTAGTCACAGCAGAGGGAAGATATTCAGCATGCATAAGAGTTTCACACTCCAGTCATAAATTCAATTATATAGCATATTTTTCAGTTGAATGACAGGCTAATAATTTGAAATAATAAAAGGGTTTCTATGCATAGTGTGAATTCCAAAACACAACTTCCTATAAAAGGGTCATTTCCTTTTGGGCACAGAAGATCTTTTTTCACAGAAGAACACAGAATTCTTCCTGCTTTTCCATCTCTTGAACAACTGTAGTGGTTTTCTTTGAAAAATTCAGGACTACAAATGCGAAAATCAGCTTCAACACAATACCCACATACAGTTCCAAGACAACTGTATTTAGACATACATGCTCAACCAATTCAATCCGGGTTCCAAAGGCCATTAATTCCCATTCAATTCATTTAAGTGCCCTTTGAGGACCTGTACCTTCTGGCTTAAGGATACGATCCAGAATAGCAAAATGGTCCCTATATCAGAACAGCATCCATGGTGTTAGAACCTATGCCTTGCAGATGAATGCTTGCATCCTTTTTCACATCTTCTGTAACTGTGTCTCTCCCACTGGGCATTTGGGTATAAAACACACTCAAATATACACATCCCAAAACGAAACTAGGAAGGATTGGTGGATATCCTGATCCATAAGTCTTTAATCATCACAGCTGAAGCACATATTTTTCAATGTGCAACCTTTTCCTATATTTAAACTTCACTAAAACGGAGCTATGGATCTGAGAGCAAACCTAGGGGAGAAATCCACAGTTACCTGAGGAACAGAAGAGCTGCTGAATGTTTTCTCTTTAGTTTGAGCACTTGGCCAGGTATAAATAAAGACTTTTGCCACTGAATGTGACAAGAGAAAGGATATGCCTCTAGAGAATAGATGCAAATCAGAGTAGATTTTGCATACTGGTCTTTTCAGCTACCCTCTTTTCTTTTTCTGCAACAGAAGAACTACTAGTGAGGTACTGGAGTCCAAAATTCAGGCTTGTATGCAGGCTACAAGCACAAGGTTTTGTAGCTGAATATGATACAAATCCTGATTAAAGCACGGAGGGAAAATTTTCTTGTTTATGATGTTTTGCCTTGACTAGGTGCTTTCCAAATATTTTAATTATATTAATTAAAAAAAAAAAAAAAAAACACAAAAAAACCCATAAGATGTTTCTGTGTGCTTCGCTTCCTTAACATAACTGATGAGATTTCCAGAGCTTTCTTCTCCTACCCATAAATAATTCATAAACAGCACAGCACATGTAACAGTTGTTACATAACCTGTGATATATAAGGTGATGTTACCTCCAGAAACATTAATAACGTTTTCTGAAATATTGATAAAAACATCTTGGGTAACAGCATATTGTAAGTAATTTTATCGAGGATTAGATATCAGTGGAACCAGATAGGTACCCAGAGCTGCTAGCTCAGAGAAAACATTTCTCAAGACTCTCGCATGAAATGAATTCTGCATTCATAGCTCCACTTTTCCAGTCCTGTCTTTCTCTGCCTTATTAATCAAAGTTCATTTTGTCTAAGGCTTATTGAGCTCAGCTTGTTCAGCCTAGCACCAGCTGGCAGTAAGGGGTGTTAACCAGAGACCCAGAATGGGTGGATCGACACTTCCTCCCAAAGTTAAATGCAGGAAACCAGTCACATAAGCAGGAGGTTTGAGAGTATTAGCAGTGGTTTTATGGGGAATTAATCTTATTTCAAAGAGCAAATCTACATGGCACCAAGCGAGATTGAAATGCAGCACTGCACTAGCTATCCAAGCTGGATAGGTTGTACTGCTAGAGCGGTGTGCTCAGGATGCCTACAGCTCGACACAGGTACATGCTTTAAACCACCCACATCCAAATAAGTTACCAACTTATTTTTATCAGATCACTGTTTCTTCTATTCCTTCCGTAGACACTTGAAATGTAAATCTTACTTACTACATTTTTTTTTTTTAATAAAAAATATGCTTACATCCATTTAGTCCAACAGCATGTATAAAATGACATACCCACAGTATGGAACCTCTTTCAGCTTGATGTTCCTCTGGGTTGCTCAAGAAAATTCTTTACAAAGCATTCTTTCTATTGATTTTCTTTCAGGTGGCTGAAGTACTTTTGTTCATGTCTTGCTTTAGACTAACTTATTACAAGGCTACATTCACCAGAGCGAGACCAGAACTGTACAGAATATCTCATCAGATTTAAATTAATTCTGCACAGGCAGACATTTCCAAATTTTCAAAAAGTAATCAGTGAACAACAACAATGGGCAGCATTAACCACCACAAGACAGCTTTCACTGGATGCCATTTTGCTGCCTGCATTCAGAGGCTTTGGGGGTCGCCTGTACTCTGAGAACAGTTGTTAAAGGTTTATATTTCAGTCCTGCTGACTTGTGCCTCTGGCCATTTTTTCAGCGAGTAAAACCTCACATGGAGGCAGATATCTGTGCTCTGGTCCATTGCCTCTTGCTCCTACTTCTTTTCCTGTTTCCTAGGGTGTCACTGACACTTGCCATATGCTCCGGTCATATGCATGTAGCCAATATGTTAGCCATGTCTTCAACAAGCATTTGGCAAGGTAGGAGAGCAGAAGATTTTTGAATGGGTAATTGGTAGTTAGGTGCTAGTCCATATTGACTGTTAGCCATTTCCCTTCTGAAATTATGCTTACAAAAAGACATTGAAAATTCCTGTCTTTTTCAAGTGACCTTCCTTTAAAGACATGTGGAGACAAGACAAACCATAGGCAACTTTTAATCCTGCCTTTCATAAATAAATCTGAAGGAAAATTATTGCAGTAAAATTTAGAAAATTATTCTTCTTTAAACACAAGCCTAATTACAAATGAACATCAGCTATAGGCTATCAACTAATGCTGTTTATTACATTGATTATAACAGGGAATCCCTAGGGTTAGTTGATGAAATAAAGATTTAATTTGAGGGTAAAGCACAACAACAAAAATGTAGTTAATTGTAAACAGTAGTATTCCAAGTCCAGCTGAGTCCATCAATATAAAAACAGAAGTTAACCTCATCCTTCCACTACTGTAAACATATTAAATGCTATTTATTGTGATTACATGTGTGTGGCCTGTTACAGCCTAAATAGGAACATTTTCGTGACTAAAAGACATAAACATCAGATAACTAACATCATTATTCCCATTTGAAAGATATAAAACCTAAATATTAATTTTAATAGTAAGGTTAGCAAATTAGGAAACCACACACTAAAATCATTGCAATAACATCTATCGCTAGTAAAACCCTCTCATTCCAAGAAGATTAAAAGTACAGGTGGGATTCAGCAGTAGTTTATATGCTGTCCTGACACATGTCATAAACAGAGATTTTATACAAAAAAGAATACAGATTTTTCCACCAAAACAGAATGAGTCAGAGTAATGGAAATGAGGTTAAAAGAAAAAAAAAAAGGGGGGGGGGGGGGGAGGGGGGGAGGGGAGAGAGGAGGGAGAAGAGGGAAATAAAAAAAAAGCCTTTTGGAAAACAATGCTTGTAAGGAAGTGAAGGAAGCAGGGACCCTCTGAGAGCTTATAGCCAGGGCTCCGCAGGGAAGTCATCCTGCAGACCGTGCCGTGGGGGTATGGCACTCACCGCAGCTCTCTGCAGGGCCAGCACGAGTTCAGCAGATTACATTCACCCAAATTCACCCAGTGCCACCTCAAACAAACACAGCTATGCTGCCCGCAGGGCAGGACTGTGCTTGGAAGCAGAGCAGCTGCATGGATGATGCAGATCACCAGACTGACGAGCTCTGCAGGACCTCACGTTGCTGTGCCTGGAGCTCCTGACCTGAGCAGGCTGCCTCGTGGCTGGAGGCACGCTGCGGCGCGTGCAGCCCGTGGCACTCAGAGCAGAGCTCGCTCAGCAGGGCTGAATGTTGGCTTTGCATCCAGGTTCTCTTTGTACCCAACGAGCTGCTGATCCGGAGGTCACAGCAACTCCTCACAAGTGCTAACAGAAAAGTTTTTACACGGGTTCCTCATTGTGTGTCTGCATTGCACCTTGCACTTCAGCAACAATTGCCTTCTCAAAGAATGCAATGTTACGTTTGGGGTAATGCCTCAAAAAGACCTTTTTTTCTTGGTAGCTTCAAGACTTTGCAAGCAACTGTGGTTAAAGATAAATGGAAAATCATAAATTCCACAGAATTTCAGGGGTATCTGCTGGCTTTATCTCTTGTTTCAAAAACATTAACAGGAACAGTTCCTGACACTCAATGGTTAACAGCTGGAAGTTTGTTTCAAGGGGAGAAACGATGAAGCCACATTGTCTGTTTTGCAGTATGAAGCTGCAGCAGATTTGTATTGCAGGAACAGAGTCTGCTTTTAGGTTACATCCTCCTTGACTTTCACCTTTCAAAGTCCATCTAGTAAAAAGTCGGTGTTCTTGAACAGCTGGTTCCACAGCACTATTTTTCCCCATGCTGTCTCTCATTTCCAAGTGGTCTCCACTACTACTTCTCACTTGTGCTTTTGCAGTAATACCTAAATATTGCAGGGATTTTGTATCAGCCATCCTTAAGGGACAATTTTCTTTTTCTCCTCTATTTTTCTTGACATTGTTATCGTTACTGTAAGCATTGCTTTGAATAATCAAATACTGGCCTGTGGACGCTGGGAGAAGGTCAGATATTGTATATGACATATGATTTGCACATCCTCAAAAGGGAAATGAGTCATTGACATAGTACAAACAATGATAACTCCATTGCATATGACTAAGATGCAAAAGATAAAATATGTTTATAAATGAATAAACTTCCTGATTATGGTGATATATTATGGTAAAATGAGGGGAAGAGAAGGAGAGGGATTTTTACTTTGTGTAGCAAGCTTTTATTTGGCAATAATGCTGGAAGAGTACTGATATACAGTGTCTGTGTGATTCATGGCACAATTTCTTTATTCTTTGTAGACCTTCTAAGGCAGAAGAGCACCAGTGGCTTGCGGCTAACAGCTGAGCCACTTGAAAGCACAATGCTTTGCAGTGCAGGTAAGTACAACTGTCTGCAAGTACAACTCCACAGTTATCACAAGAGCACTGGTACAGAGATCTTCATAGAATTATAGAATCCTTATAGTTGGAAGGGACCTCTGGAGTCTCTCCATTCCAACTCCTCTGCATAGAACATCACAGCTAGAACAGCCCAGCCTCATCTTGAGGGATGAGACAGTAATCAAATGACTGGGCAAACTACTCCAGTGCCTCACCACCCTCATTGTAATGTTTTGTTGTTGGTGGTGGTTTTTTTTTCTTTTTTTTTTTCTAACCTAAATCTACCCTGTAACCTAAATCTATCCTCTTGAGCTTGAAGACATGGCACCATGTTTTAAAAGAGTTCATAAAAGGAAAGAAATGGGCAACAACACATATGATCAAGCCAAGATCAAACATACATTTGTCATTTCTAACACTTTTCACGTAATGTTCAGTTGCATGAGCAGCTCCTCCAAAGTAAGGATCTTCTAGCCCACTAAACAAGATACGAACTGGGGAAGCTAATCTTAGCTCCTTAAAGCAGAGACCAAATTGCCTCTTTGCTCCATCATAACCCTGCTGAAAGAGAACTAAGCAGGGGTAGGAGCACACATGGGGCTGCCAGCAGCTGAGCAGGCTGAGAAGAGCGGTCAGCTCTATGAGCTCAGAGCTGGCAGCTCGCCCCATGCCTACATGAGCTTCTCTCTAGCTGCTGCTGCTGCACAGACAGCAAAACCTGTCACAGACAGCAATTATCTTCTCCAGACCAAATTTTTATTCAGAAAGGCCATGCCTTGCCAGCAGATATCCCAGCTCAGCAGCTACAGAGGAGCTTCCTAACGCAAAAAAACATTGAGAACATCACAGCTTCCTTTCCTTTTTGCCAATGCACTTGGTGATCACTTTGGCTCACTTCCACGTTGCACAGCAGTTGAGTGCATTTGATCTTTGGCTTGGATACCTCATAGCCTTCCCCAGATGAAAGGTTCAACTTAGCTAGGTGATTAGGAGTCCAGTTTGAAAGCACACAGCAGGATAAAAAGCTCAGATTAAAATCAGAAATATTCCAAACAGCACAGCTCCGAGAGGGCTAAAGTTGAAATTAAACATTGGAGTCAGCACAATGCAAGAAATTCACAACCAACTTGTGTATATCTTGCATAATAAAAGTTTAACCACATATGTTCTCAATATTCAGGGTAAAGACTCAAATATGACCTGGGTAAAATCCACCGTAATATGAACCGAAACCTTTGTTGTTACCTTCAGCTGCATAATCTAAAAAGCTGAAGGTTTGGACTGCAGGCTGCTAACTCCAACAGCAGATATCTCCATTTACCTGGCTGTTATTTACAAACAGCTGATAATTGTGCTATCACCAAAGCCATAATCTATTTTATCAGTTGCTGCATTTTCTTGCATTTTGTATTGTACTTTCAACTGTCATAAACCAGTACAGCAATCTACTAAGGTGAAATAATTAATAATTATTATGTGAGTGACTGATTTACTTTGCAGAACATGAAAGGCCACGAAACCTGGAGTTTCCTGGTCTACATAGTGTGCATAAAGGAAATGAGCATAAGCAATCACTGTCAGCTGTTCTTGTAAGTAAGAATTGAATCATTTATCTGTCTGCATGTATACATTATCATCATCTCCCACTCTGAGGTAAGCCCTAATAGCACTTTATGGCACAAAAATAGGTCGCTGCAAATATTTCATAAAAAATACCATTGCTTTCTTTGGAGAGTGATGGCTGAACACATACATATTTAGTATAAGGTGCAAACATTTTTTTAAAATTGCATGATTTTGATTCTATGTCACAATGAGTTTTTATCCGCACCACTTAAAGCAGAGCTAAATCCTGGACCTGATTCAAACATACACTGTATAGTACAGTAAAATTCACAGTGCCTAAAGTTCTTACTCTCTCCTTTTTCTTTTTTTTTTTCATTTATAATCATTTTGTTTAATATTAACCACCCGCAAGAAGCACCAGATTTAGAACTCCAACTATTTTATTTTTTCAGTCTTTATTTCCAGTGATCAGCCATTTCAATCAATCATAGGACAGCATCTCAGTCTCACTGCAGTTACAGCAAAACTTGCTAGGGTCTAAGTGGAGACAGATGCACATAGCCGTCACATTCATGATTTAGTGTTTGCCACCACCTCAGTGGAAATATAAAAATCAAGGGGAAACCTGAAAGCTTTTTTGAGCAAACTATTGAGCAAACAAACCATTCAAAATAATATTTTTCATTGTTCTGCCTGAGCAAGATAACGCAGTGGAAGAACATAAAGCAGCGTAATCGCTATTTTACAAACTGAAAAACACAACACGTATTTTAATTGAGTAACCAACTGTTTGAAGGCTACGCTGCTCCCTGAAGTAGTAAAATGCACTTCTTTCTTTCTTGGTGGAATAAATGAGATTTAAATATAACTAATATAAACATATAGTTATTATAAATCTTCTATAAGAATGATTTATAGTAAGAGTTAAAATGAATATATTATGTGTTAAATATTTTTACATAAAATATAGCTTTCTTTGTAATGAAGTCGAGTTTGTTAAGGATGCTTTTGCCTTATAAAGTTCAGGCCTTTAGATCTAAAGGCCTGATGTCTGAGTGTGGCACACGTGGGTGTGACGTGGGGGCCTGTGAAGTGCTTGTGGGCTGGATGACAGCAAAGGTCCCTTATAAAATTGCAGTCAGCACTCCTAAACGACAACATGGCTGTTTCCTGGAGCTGTGGCTCGCAGGCAGAACTAAACAAGTGCTTCTGACTCACCCCAAGCAGACTAAACGCTGAGATCAACAGATAGGAATTGGGACCAGCTGAGACCACAGCTGAGAGCTTCTGGAGCCAAAGTCCTTCAACACCACATTGAAATGGGCTCAACAGAATTCTCTCGTTTAGGGTTCAGAGTTTAATTGGAGCAAAAACAAACCTTTCGACAATTTTCCAAATCAATCCTGCCACATCCAGACTGCTTGAGAGTGCATTCACTAGCGATGCACCTTGCCTTGCAACAGGAGGGATGGAGTGGAGCTGAACCTTGCTGCTCTCCATCCTTCTGCACAGGCAGAGTCCCACTCTAACGGTAGCACACTTGAAAAGCTCTGATTGTTCATCATGTTCCTTTCTCTCTTTATTCCTCCATTCCTTGTACCATATTTGCCTTTCAAAGGCATCATTCTCAATCTTTTAAAATGTAATTTATGAGTGTTTAATAAAAAAAAAAAAACAGCCCATAACTTTAAACTCTTCTAATCCCCAGGAAGAGGAGGAGAATATACACAAGCAGGCTTTCTCCCATACTACTTTCTGCTACTTATTCCAATAGAATGCTAATAATTATGTTAAAAAGCTAATTTAAGAAATCCAATTTTTGGAAAATGGGTTTTCAAAGGGCATATTTAACAACTAGAGAAAGTTCGATCTGATTTCCCCATTAGAAGAGGAAGGAAAATCCAATTTTAATCTATTTTTGTTCTGTTAAAAAGATGATATATAGAAGTTACTTTGCAAATCATCCTTTCAAAGCAGACCTTGCATAAGCACGTGCTAACTTGTGAAGTGCAATTAAACTGTTCCGATAATTCTGCCTGAAAAAAAATTAGCAGCAATATTGAGAGGGCAAGTTGCTTTCAAAACATCCATAGCAGAAATGCTTCTGTGTTTAGCTGTTATTGATTCTGAAACAATCTTACACATGATAAATGAGAGCACATTTAGGA